GAAGGGCTCCAGCCCCAAACACAGCTCCACGGAGATGTCAGCACCCCTGTCCCCATGTATTAGGGGGCCTTCTGTGCTGTTCATGCTGTTTTCATACCCATCACGAAGGCCTGGCCATGTCCCAGTCCTAACCTAGCTGAACTTCCGTTGCTAGAAGGAGGCAACCAGATCTGACCAGCCCCAAGATCACAGTTTCACGCTGGGCTGGCGGGTGGGTGGTTAGCACCTTCCTCTGGGAGACGAGCTAAGCCGCAGAAACTAGCTTGGGTTACATCCCAGGGTCCAGCCAATTTGGCAGCCCCGTGGGTCAAGGCTGGTGTGCGGCCAGTCATGAGTCCAGCACAACTAAAAGGCATAAAACAGTGCCTCACCACAGCATTACACACCCTCAGGCAGGCTTCCTCAAGGGTATGCCATCTCTAACTCATGTTGTTTCCCGCCATGCTCTTCCTAACGCTTTCCTTCTAACAGGAGTCCCTTCTCCACATCACTCACCCTGCGACTGGAACCCACCTTTCATGCTAATGTCGCTTGTGAGGAATGCTGCAGACCACAGGTGCACAGCAGTGCTGTTTGCCCTCTCAGGTGTCCAGTCAAACCTTGGTCACACCCAGCCCTGGCCAGGCAAGCCCATGACCTTGAGGCTTTTTCACCAGTTCTGGACATCTGAGCTTCATCAGAGGCTGGAGCTGGAGTTCTGGTTCTAGAACATCAATAAAGCCCCTTTATCTGGACATCTGAACTCCATAAAAGGCTGGAGCTGGAGTCCTGGCTCTAGAATGCCAAGGAAGTTCCTCTTTCTGGGCATCTGGACCTCATCAAAGGTGGGAGCACAAGTCCTGGCTCTAGAATATCAATAAAGCCCCGGTTTCTGGACATCTGGACTTCATCAAAGGCTGGAGTTTGAGTCCTGGCTCTAGAATGCCAAGAAAGTTCCTCTTTCTGGACATCTGACCTTCAGAGGCTGGAGCTGGAGTCCTGGCTCTGGAATGTCAAGAAAATCCCTCTTTCTGAACATCTGGACCTCATCAAAGGTGGGAGCATGAGTCCTGGCTCTAGAACATCAATAAAGCCCCGGTTTCTAGACATCGGGACTTCATCAAAGGCTGGAGCTTGAGTCCTGGCTCTAGAATGTCAAGGAAGTCCTTCTTTCTGGACATCTGGCCATCATCAGAGGCTGGAGCTGAAGTCCTGGCTCTAGAATGTCAAGAAAATCCCTCTTTCTGAACATGTGGACTTCATCAAAGGCAGAAGAATGAGTCCTGGCTCTAGAACATCAATAAAGCCCCAGTTTCTGGATATCTGGACTTCATCAAAGGCTGGAGCTCGAGTCTGGCTCTAGAATATCAAGGAAGTCTCTCTTTCTGGACATCTGACCATCATCAGAGACTGGAACTGGAGTCCTGGCTCTAGAATGTCAAGAAAATCCCTCTTTCTGAACATCTGGACCTCATCAAAGGCAGGAGCATGAGTCGTGGCTCTAGAATATCAATAAAGCCCCAGGTTCTGGACATCTGGACTTCATCAAAGGCTGCAGCTTGAGTCTGGCTCTAGAATGTCAAGGAAGTCCCTCTTTCTGGACATCTGACCATCATCAGAGGCTAGAGCTGGAGTTCTGACTCTAGAACATCAATAAAGCCCCAGTTTCTGGATATCTGGACTTCATCAAAGGCTGGAGCTCGAGTCTGGTTCTAGAATGTCAAGGAAGTTCCTCTTTCTGGACATCTGACCATCATCAGAGGCTGGATCTGGAGTCCTGGCTCAAGAATGTCAAGAAAATCCCACTTTCTGAACATCTGGACCTCATCAAAGGCAGGAGCATGAGTCGTGGCTCTAGAACATCAATAAAGTCCAGTTTATGGACATCTGGACTTCATCAAAGGCTGCAGCTCAAGTCTTGTCTCTAGAATGTCAAGGAAGCCCCTCTTTGTGGACATCTGACCATCATCAGAGGCTGGAGCTGGAGTCCTGCATCTAGAATATCAATAAAGCTCCTCTTTCTGGACATGTGACCATCATCAGAGGCTGGATCTGGAGTCTTGGCTCAAGAATGTCAAGAAAATCCCACTTTCTGAACATCTGGACCTCATCAAAGGCAGGAGCATGTCGTGGCTCTAGAACATCAATAAAGCCCCAGTTTCTGGACATCTGGACTTCATCAAAGGCTGCAGCTCAAGTCCTGGCTCTACAATGTCAAGGAAGCCTCTTTCTGGACATCTGACCATCATCAGAGGCTAGAGCTTGAGTCCTGGCTCTAGAATGCCAAGGAAGTCCCTCCTTCTGGACATCTGAGCTTCATCAGAGTCTGGAGCAGGAGTCTTGACTCTAGAACATCAATAAAGCTCCTCTTTCTGGACATCTGGACTTCATCAAAGGCTGGAGCTCGAGTCCTGGCTCTAGAATGCCAAAGAAGTTCCTCTTTCTGGACATCTGAGCTTCATCAGAGACTGGAGCTGGAGTCCTGACTCTAGAACTTCAATAAAGTCCCACTTTCTGGACATCTGGACTTCATCAAAAGCTGGAGCTCGAGTCCTGGCTCTAGAACGCCAAAGAAGTTCCTCTTTCTGGACATCTGAGCTTCATCAGAGACTGGAGCTGGAGTCCTGACTCTAGAACTTCAATAAAGCCCCACTTTCTGGACATCTGGACTTCATCAAAGGCTGGTGCTCAAGTCCTGGTTCTAGAATGTCAAAGAAGTCCCTCTTTCTGGACATCTAAGCTTCATCAGAGGTTGGATCTGGAGTCCTGGCTCTGGAACATCAAGGCAGTCCCTCTTTATGAATACCTGAGCTCATCAGAAGCTGGAGCTGGAGTTTTCTTGACTCTAGGATGTCAAAGGAGTCCATCTTTCTGGACATCTGCACTTCATTGGAGGCTGAAGCTGGAGTCCTGGCTCTAGAACATCAATAAAATCACTCTTTCTGGACATCTGATTGCATCAGAGGCTGGAGTTGGAGTCCTGGCTCTAGAACCTCAAGGAAGTCCTTCTTTCTGGACATTTGAGTTTCATTGGAGGCTGAGCTGAAGTCCTGGCAGTAGAAAATCAAAGAAGTCCCTCTTTCTAGACATCTGAGCTTCATCAGAGGCTGGAGCTGGATCCCAGCTCTAGAACATCCAGGAGGCTCCATTTTCTAGACATCTCAGCTTCATCAGAGGCTGGAGCTGGGTCCCCACTCCAAAACATCATAGAGGTCCCTCTTTCTGTATGCCAGAACTTTGTCAGAGGCTGGAGCTGGATGCCAGCTCTAGGACACCAAGGAGGTCCCTCTATATGGACATCTGAGCTCTGTCAGAGGCTGGAACTGGGTCCTAGGTCTGAAACATCAAAAGAGGAGTGACTCATTCCAGATGGCCAAGTTTGTCAGCGGATGGAGCTGGAGTCCTGGCCCTGAGACATCACATGGGTCCCTCATTCTGAGTGTCTAAGTTCCATCTGAGGCTGCAGCTCAAATCCCAGCTCTGGAACATCAAGGAGACACCCATTCTGGATGTCCAAAGTGCATATGAAGGTGCAACTGGAGTCCTGGCTCTGGAACACTCTGCACGCCTGAGCTGCATCAGAGGCCGGCACGCTGTTCACAGTCCTTAGGACCCTCCTGGACTCTCAGCTGGGCATGGACTCCTCTGGGTGGGGCACACTCTAGAGGCCATCTTCTCCTTTTCTTACTGCCGTCTGGACCAGCACTCCGCACCATCTGTGTCACCATCTCCATCGGGACCTAGCGTCAGGTCTCCTTGGCTGAGCCATGACCATGATCCCTCTCTCTTCAGAGAGGCCATGCTCAGTCCCGTGCACTTGCAGCTGGACTTGCCTGAAGTTCTCTCAGGTACTGCCCTGTCAGGGAGGAGGAAGAGGAGGAGGGAAGGAGGAAGGAGAAGAGAAAGACAAAAGAGAAGGGAGAAGGGAATGAAGGGGGAAGGGGAGGTGGCAGTAGCGGCTGTGGCTGTGGCTGTGGTGGCGGTGGTGTGTTGGCCGTGGGAGTGGCAGCCATCAGCCTCTCCCTCTCCACCAGAGCATGTATGTCTGTGCCATCGGCTCCAGCAGAGCCAGAGTGTGGCCTGCGGTATCCATCTGGGCTCCATCGATGCCTGTCTTTCTTGCCTCCTCGGTGTCCATTCACCCGGCCACAAGCTGCTCACAGACGGCCACTCACAGGGTGCTGGGCTCACCTTCTCAGGCTGGGCCAGCACTCCCGCCAGCCAGGCGGTGGTGGGCCTGAGATGCCACCCTTGTGGCTCACACACAGGACCCTGCTTGGGACCATCTTGAGGAATAAGTGTTGGTCCCAGGGTCCCAGGCAGGCCGTACATTAGTCCGGGCACGAAGACACTTGACCAGGCCTCTACGTGGCCCTGGGAGTGTGGCAGGAAGAAGAGGAGGAGGAGGAGACAGAAGACTCACAGTCCTGGGGTAGCAGCCTCTTGGGGACCCCAGGGCCCAAGGCAGGGAGCTCAGCTCAGAGCCTCCCTTGGCCTCCAAAGCCAGACCCCCGCCGCCTCCTCTACATTCCAGAAAGAAACCTGGCCTCCTGCAATCGTTAGAAGAAGGGCACCGGACCAGAGTTAGTTCGCCCACGCACACACCAGGCTCGGGGCACCCCCTGGCCCTGGAGAGCCCAGGGGGCCGGGTCCAGGCAACCTGGTGGGGTGTGAGCCGGCCCCTCGGCCCTCCCACCCGTCACACGCCAGCAGACAGGACGCCCGACACTCACCCCTCCTTATATTAGTAGCACATCCGTCACTGTTTTTGTTAAGACAAGAAACACATTTATTGAGAGCACAGCGGGAGTGCCATGCCCTGTGCTTTGAGTGACATCACGGCCCTCACAACAGCCCTGTGAGGTAGGTGTCTGAGCCCGTTTCACAGATGCAGACCACGAAGGCCCGACGGCTCCCCCAAGTCTCAGGGTTCGTGAGGGGCGGGCGGGGGGCAAGGC